TAGACAAATTATGGAAGGGAGTAGTACTGTAATTGTAGAACTTTATACACTTTGACTAGGCATTACGTGTAATACCTAGGCATTTTATAGAATGGTCACATTTGTATCAGGCAAATTAATACAGAAATTTGTACAAAAACGATTTATAAAATTGAAATATCTGTTGCATACTTAGTTTAGGTTGTATTAGTTTAGTTTGGATTAAATTAGTTTTTTCCAAACAAAGGCAGTAACGGTATGAATTTGGTGTCAATTCCTTATGAGTATAAGATAATCAACAGGGTTTTCAAACTAAACATGTAGCGCAAACGTGCATTCTGTAGAGCGACTGGACAAAGAATAAAGTAGGATTTATTTCATACTTCTCCTGAATCATTTTAGACAATGTACCACATTCTAATACCTGATTCACACTTTTCCGTTAACATAATTTTTTGTGCACCGAAATATAGCTGACGTGACGTATCACTTTCAAGGTCGATAATTATTTTACTATCACACTTATACCGTGAGGTCACACAGTCTATGATATGTCAGCCAACCGTTATCTTTCGAGTGTCCCGAACTGCAAGGTTATAAATAACTTACACGGCTTATTTTGAGTGTTATCTTCTCTAGAACATGACTATGGATCATGACTGCGTGTGAAGTGTCTATGGGATCTTCAACTTGAAGTGATCAAAATAGCTACACACTGTATAGCTCACTCCGGTCAAAAAGTTTTATTTATAAGAATCACAGGTAATGAAGTTGGAGACCGAGACTTTAGACCAAGAGGTCTGGGGTTTAAATCTTGCCAAAGACAAATGTCCTGAGTCCATTTCAAGCTGTAGGTTCGCCTTCGTAGACAAAATTATAAGCCTCTCGGACGAGTGAATCTGGTCTATTGGTTGAAACATGGGACTTCAAGCTAAGAGGTCTGGGGTCCAAATCTTGCCAAACACAAATGGTTTGAGTCTATTTCAAGATGTAGGTTCGCCTATGTAGAAAAATTATAAGCCTATCAGACGAGTGAATATGGCATATTGGTTGAATCACGGGACTTCAAGCCAAGAGGTCTGGGGTTCAAATCTTGCCAAAAGCAAATGTTCAAGCTGTAGGTTCGCGTATATAGAGACAATTACAAGCCTCTCAGACGAGTGAATCTGGTCTATTGGTTGAAGCACGGGAGTTCAAGCCAAGAGCTCTTGGTTCAAATCCCCCAATCACCAATGTAATTTATTCGTGTTGTTTTGCATGTATTAAGTGGTTCAAAACCCACCGCAAGCTGGTAGGTCTTGCTATCTAAAAAGATAAGCTTTCCAGGTGAGGGGAATATTCTCCGTATTTGAGAAAACTCTCAAACTAAAACACACGATAGTCAATTTATACATTATCTACCTATTTACCCACTCCACCGGTTAAAGTTTTGTGTTTTATGCTGTTAAAGAGTTTTGCGTGATTTATCTAAAGTTTTTTTTTATAATGTGGGCCTATCTACAAAGAGTATACGTTTTTAATACGAAAGAACTAAGATAAATACTTTTATTTATTTTTATTTAAACTTAGTTATGCCACCTAATATTTTTTCACATAGCCATTCATCTCACAATTTTAATTTTTTTTTCTTCTTGTAACTCCATTTACATCATATTTTCACCTCAACATATCTCCTGTAATTTATTTATTTATTGCATTTGATAAATAATGTTATGTTTGGACGCAACTACAGTCGACGCACAGGCTCGCTGCCCATGTCGGCTTATTCCCTATTAACATGTAGGCCTACGCTTTTTTTAACATAGATGTAATGTAAAGGTTAATTTTATTTTATTCTTTTAAATTCACTTATGTTTTTTTTTCTTCCTTTAAATATTTGTGTACATATTCTGTAAATAATTTGTTGGAATAAAGAAATAATTCATTCATTCATTCAAATGAGACCCATTAAATATCTTTCATTATGTGGCACTATTGGCGTTTTATTTTACCACATTTAATAAGAGCTCTTATGGTGAATGTCTTTAAAAAAGGATTTGATTAGACGAGGATAACTGTTTTCTGTTTCGGAAGATTCCTTCTACGTAAATATGATGTTAATTTTTTATTGAACATATTTTTATACACTGTTATATTTCTCCATTTGATTTAGATAGGTATCTGATAATGTAATAAACCCTGTGTGTTCGGAATCCACCTGAGGATGTAGTTCCAGTCGTCTAGGGAATAAAAAGAAATACGTCTCTCTCGTGAATGTTCTCTCCGTCGATCAATCCGTCCCCTTCAAAATCTTGGAGTAATCCCATCCTCCTTGTTATAAACTGTGCAGGGTGTACCCTCGAGTAAAAAGTCACTTAATTAAATTATTAGAACCCAAATCTGTAGAATATAATTCATCATTATTTAAATTGTGACGGTATATAAGTGAAAGAGTGAGGTCTTCAAGAGGAGTTCTGACTCCACCTTAGCTCACTAAATTTACTGAGGCTTAAATTTTTATCTGCAGCACAAAATCGCGGCTCCTCAAAAGAGCTCAAACTTTCTCCGGAGACGTCCAAGTAAACAATATCCTTCCGCTGACAAAACAGAACAAAAGAGTTTTTACCGGTAAACACCTTGGGCAGGTAAGGGTCACCGAGGGGGGAGACAAAAAGATTCGTCTGACCCCTCTAAGTGGACACTATGTGTGAGGGTGACCTTTCCTAGAAACCACCCTTGGGGAGAAAGCTGGCGTCTATTTCTGGGGGAGTTGACCTCAGCCTCAGGTAGGGAGACATTCCGTGCCTTGCCACTGTAGGTTTCCTTGTTTGAAAATAAAGTTTGAGATTTTGAAATACGTTTCGTGTTTTGGTGTTTGAAGCTGCAGAATTTTGGTGTTTGAATCCCAGATGTCCTTTTGCACACATGATCCGGATCCTTGAAAACAGCTGATCTTAGTAGAAAGCATAGATAAACACAAAACACTCCCTTATTAGATCTCTCATCCTTATGGAACAGCTGAAGCAAATGTTATAGTTAGTTTTGTTTACAATTTGTTTCTTGTTATTTCAGTCATTTAAAGCCTCGTTTAACCAAATAAAAACGATCTATTCATAATCAACAACTGACCTCATAGTTATAAAACCAAACTGTAAAGCACAAATCTTGAAAATACCCTAAAAATAGAAACAAAATTTCGTCTACACTAACGATCAGTGTCGACGTAAACACAACAAACGAGCTTCAAAATTTACAATGGGATGTAAGTCTGCTTGTGTTGGTAGAATGTGTTTACTCACTCATCCATTCCATTCGCTGGAGCCATATTTGGATTGAAATAAATTAAGGTACATAGCTGTCTCAGTATTTAAGTTAATAATTTTTTTCGAATTACACCCCAGAACTGTCATCAGAAGTTCTGAGTTCGTCTTCAGAACTGTCATATAAAACAGAACGAGTTCAATAGATTTTTTACCATTATGCCATTGTGCCATTTGAATAGGATAATAATGATTTCTTACACAAAAAACTTTGTAGAGAGGATTTTCTATCTAAAAGATTGTCAAGTTCATCCGGTGGACTGAATTACTGAACAAATATTGAAGAGGATAACAATGTCGAAATTATCAAAAGTTTGTGATTTAAATTATCAACCGACTGAAACTGATTGACAATCTATAAGTAAATAAAATGTAAATTAACTTCTACATTATTACCCTTATTATTTCCTTTCGATCCTAATAATTTGCTCATGTGAATATATTAGCAATTATCTATATACTCATTACTTCAACTAAGTTGGCACTACGAAAAGTATTTAATAAACTTTCAACACCTGGTACTGTATTTATATTCGTTGAAAAAATATTGTTTACCACACAACGTGCAGATAAATAATTTGACTCTGATTTAAAATTCAAATCACTATGTTATCCAGTTTTGGTATATATTTACAGTGTCCCAGCCTTGACATTTGATTGGCTCCGGTGCGTTTGTTAAATGGACCAATCGGCGTGAAATTTACACTCAGGGACCGCAGCAGCTGTTAAATGGGTCCAAATACGTCATCGAGGAGACTACCAGGATAATCAATGTTGTTTATAGTTTTCACGATGAAATTGAAATTTATATTGAAAAATGTGTTTTAAATTTTACTTTAGTACAGTATTATATTTTTCATCGCCAAATACAAAATGTTAAAACATATAAAGTAAGTGACGATTAATGTATTGATCTGATACATCTATGATTATGAAAATATATACGATATGTGAGGTAGATTTTCAATGATGGTCAAAGAGTGGTCTAAGGATAAAAGAAGATGTGGAGGTTTCCAAAGATCAAAAAACTTTTCAGCAAAGGAGTGATTGTCACCAACAATAAAAACGGCACAATAAACTTAAGTTATTATGTAGGTTTGCTATAGAAAATTGTCTCTTATTTAAATAAATTGAGAAATATAATAGATTCAATATTTCTGAGGTCTGTCGTGATGAAAAGTATCGTTTATAACTCGTACCGAAAGAGCTTTTCGGGACTTACTCCATTATTCCCTACCGCTCGGCTTCGTTTTACACGTAAAATTTAGTTTTCCTGTGTTCGGCTTTGCCTCATATCGTACAACACATGAGAGCACGCTGCAGTGTAGGTGCTTACTCTTTTCAAGTTACATTCCTGCACTCGTTACATATATGATAATGAAATCACTGGAAAATAATCAAATCAACGTAATACTACTTGTAAACAAACACCATCCCATATACCGAATTCATTCAAAACATTGGTAACTTTCGTTGCAGTCAATTAAAACTCACAATCCAATTCCGATTGATCCGAACAATATTCAACAGCTGTCAATACCTTTGAGTTACAGCCGAACAATTTTCCGATTCAGGGCAGCGGGCAGCGCCCTAATGAATATAAACCCGAAAGAAGAAAATAAAATAGAGCGGACAGTCTGTGTAGGTAGCTGTGACAGGTGGACAGGTGAAGGGGGGGAGGGGGGGAGTTAGTCACCTGTGCTGCCATTCGCCGTCGGACCGGCGAACGAGAACCACCTGTACGCGGAACGCCGGATTACGGAACATCGCGAGTGAAACATAACCTCACTTTTTGTTTTCTGAGGTTTTTGTGTACGTTATGATATAGACTGGAGTGTTTTTCACAGTGTTAAGGACTAGCTAGGGCATAAGTGAGTGTATTTATGGTACTTTTGTGTTGACTGGATGTGTGGTGATAGTTTTGTGAATTGTGTAGTCGATAGTTTCGACTGCAGGTGGTGTGATGCGTGAAGTGGACACGGTCAGTCCAGTGATTTGGCCGGCTTGGTGTTATTCAGGTAATTATTAGATTTTTAAAATTAAATTGTAAATCTTTTTGTTAATAATCGACATTCCCCGATCTAATTTTTTTAATATTTGACCGTGTAATTTTGTGTAAAAAAGGTTAGTAAGTATTAAGTTTGGTGCAATTTGTTAAATATATCTATTGTAAAAAATGTGACGTTAATTGGACTAACTTAGAAGTAAAATCGTTAACACACTTTTGTATGGATAAATTAATTAATAAACTATTTTCAATTTCCCGTAAAAATTACGTTAGACGCTTTCGCCCCCGTTGTTATCAACAAGAACGGTATCAAAATAGTACTTTTATTTTCTGAATTACTTTGGAAAGGTAATTATTGCTATCCAATTTGCACGTTGTGTTTTTTTACATCACCATATTAAAATTTTTTGAGAAATAAAAGTGGGAGAGCTACAATTCAAAATTATATTTAAATTATATTTTATTTTTTTTCTATTTATTTTAATTTAAATATATTTAAATTTATTTTTTTATTTTTATTTAAATTTTATTTTGTTGAAAGAATAAATAAATAAATAAATTCAAACGGTGGGTTAATAAATAATTATATAGGCTAAGTTTCTTAAAAAATTAAACAAAGTAACTTATTATTTATTAAGTTTAGAGTAAAGACTGACAAACTAACTACGGTAATATGAGTGTGAAATCAATTTATACAAAAGTGAAATATAATAGACCTGTAATCAAAGTTACAAAATCGGTAAAGGATAATAATAAAAAATAGATCACTATATATTAAATCGGCAGTCACGACGTTGATTAAAAAATAAAATAAAATTAACTAAAATTGAATCAATGCAAGTAATTTACTACCTACACAATGAAGCTTATTAAACAGTAATATACATAAAATGTAAATCAAAGTTATCTCAATTCAATTCATTTTATTAACGGCAAACACCATTTTACCAGTGGGTTTACAAGATAATTAATATTTAAGAAGATGATCAATCAATATTCATAATCAATAACAAAGAACACAATTAATTGAAAGAAATAATCATTAAGAACTATACAAAAACAACAACAAAGAGTAACAACAATTGATAAAGATTTTATAAATTAATAACAAGGTTAAAATATTTGAAAATGAAAACGATACAGTGATAAATAATCTCGCCTCACCCATAGTTACAAATATGGTTGGTTGATTTAAAATAGTACAACTACATTTCTACTTTTGTGGCCAAGTGAGTAAAATGGTTGACACTATACCTACATTACGATAAAAAAAATAAATATTCCTATTTCGTGAGTTTACCCTCGTACGGTAACGCGAATTATTTTTCATCTTACTGCAGTTTCCAGTATATGCGCATGCGATGCGGAGATATATTAGGTCTCTTTATCTCTAGGACAAAAATATTGACGTTCTTTTTTAATTTTTTATCTTTTTAAACAGATTTTTTGAAAGAAAAAAGAGCTTATTAAATTGTGATTATAGTCTTCTAAATACAGTTTAATTGCTCTGCCCGTGCTCCGTGACGCGGAAAGAATACAGGGAATATATAAATATTGTGGTCCTTCCAATGCCTCATCCAATGCGAACTGCTGAATGATTAGGATTTTGTTCGTGATAAGTCAATTTTATCAATAGCTATGTCATTAAACACTTTGCGGATAAAATACCTACTACTTATTAATTGGAACCCATAATGCCACTTCCAAACTGAATGATTCTTGAATCCTCCACGTAAACATAAGTAACATATATTTGTCTGCAACATCAATTACCATGTTTTAATATTGTAAAAATGAGCATGTTTAGGCTGATAAACATGTAAAATAAATATGTATAATGAACATATTTAAATATTATGGGGCATGTAAACAATTGGAAGACATATACAGTATGTACAGAAACAAAATCAAACGTAATGTTCTAGTATAAGAACGGATTGTAAAAATACTTGATAAAAAATTACAATTAAATAATAATTTAAAAATTAAAGCTGATGCATCTTCAATATTTTGAATGTGGTTGAATACAACGTTTTAATCGAGTTCTATCCACCTTTAGGAGAGGGTTGATCGAAACTTTTACGGGGAAGATTCTTAAAAATTGAGACTTATTCGATCTTGGCTTTATAATATAGATATTTCTTTTGTGTTACATTATATGTGTTCTCGCAATAAAACACCCTCTATCAATGATATAATTATTCAATTAAAACTAAAAGATATATTATTGCACTGGGGAAATAATTTATTTGCGTGTGGGAGCATTTTGGAAAGGAGACGTACAATTTGCACAATTTTTTTAGATTAGTTAGCCTAGCTCAAATGAAGGTCAAAGAGAGGGGTGTATTTTGTTGTGGCGTAATATAACGGGAAAACCCCAGATTATAACTTGATCCTTGTTTGATTTTTTATAATTTTCTCAATTTCCAACCTTAGTCGTAAATACCAGATGCCATTTGTCATTAGTCTATCAACGATGTAACATAATATCTACGTCATATAAAAGACTAAGGTTTTGGACCGTTCCTTCACATAACAAAATCCTGCCAATAAAATTGTAGGAAACAAATACAGTCAATAAAGCTAGTGATGAAACTTGGATTGAGCCAGCGCCCAGGGTGTTGTACAGGTGTGAGCGCCCAGGCGCGCCGCTTATCACTACATTGATAACACGACCTGAAGATAAGCACGCTCAGGCGCTTACCGCCGCGCTGAACACAGCACGAGGAGGAATTCGAGCTGTTGTACCGAATTGGAATAAAAAATGTAGCAATCTGACTCATACTTTCCTCCATTAGCTTGTCAACAACCCTTATCATGGGCAAGCGGTGGGAGTAACTGTTATATTTAATTGGGAAGATCACATAAGTTGCAATAACTTTTGATCTGTAATTTTTGCAGCAATGGGGGTTGTACCATTTTGTTTACATTTTAAAAGTCTGTTCTATAACATAGGCTACTAAATGTTTGTCAACATCGTTCGAGCAGTTTTTGTCAATATTTATTCCTAATTTTCAAATATTTTAGTGAACAATCACAGAATTCAAAACTTCCAAAAATATGTACGTCTAGAGATACTATGGATTAGTATATACGTGGTATCTACATATTAAATCGTCTAAAAATCAGACCACGAGTGTGGTCTGTAGCTCTATACACATCCGCACACTCATCACTTCGAAACCCACTTTTTAGGGCCATGGAGACCATCCTTAAAATGATTACCAACAACAATAATTTCTACATATAATCGGAGGGGGGGGGGATAAATAATATCTATAAACGTATAATATATGCATGTACAGTATACTATTCTATATAGGGGGAGAAAAGACAACAAAAACAAAATCTTGTGAATTTATGATCGAGTTTATCGCGTAAAAATTGAGATCAGTTGCATTAATTTGCTTGTTGAGTATTTAGGCTATATTATGCTATTTTGTACACTGTTTAAGAAGCAATTTTATTTTATTTCTTATTTTGCAACCAACGGTTCAAATAAACCAATTGAAAATGTTTACATTGCATTGAAAATTATTATTCTGGTAGTTCACTATTTAATGATGTAGGCCTACGAGTAGTTTATGTCTTGAAATGTGTTAATTTGTGTACACCCGATATTTTATACAAAATTATAAATTGTATCGGTTATTGGCATAGATGAAGTATTTTAGAACACCCCACACACATTTTAAAACCATATTTTAGCTGGATACTATTGCAGGGTGGACCCTGCAATAGTATCCAGCTGAAATACGCACCTTAGGAGTGCGTCGGTATCACAAACGAATGTGTGTAGTTTAACTAACAATTGGCGTAAACTTAAAATTGTTAAGTTACAAGTCAATGAAGGCCTACTCATATTTCTGCTGAAATTTTAGCCTTGGTGGGAGAAAGGGTATAAAGATTTAAAAATGCCTGAAACAAATTAAATGCAATGAGGTCTACGATAAGGCCAACATCATGTTCGCTATAATTATTGCCGGAGTAAATTTCAGTAAATTGTGTTGTTTATATAGTTTTAAGCAAACCATACTACTTTTAAAATGTGATCAGTGTCAAAAACAATAATAAAAACACTGCTAAAGGGTAAGAAATCAGTAATGGTGCGAGCATAATACTATTTTATTTGACCTGTTGTGAGCAGAGCCTGTTCAAAGCTTGGCTAACATTGGAACGAGTGAGTAGGCGAACTGAGTGGGCAGCAGCAAGGCCGAGCCACGACCTTTGCCCCCTCACCTGTCCTCTATTGTGTCTGAGACTAGCCTGTTCTGTTGGTCGTGTAGATATGACAGTGATGGCTCAGCAGGTCACGTGACTATGGTGTGTAGACAGCAGCAAGGCCGAGCCACGACCTTTGCCCCCTCACCTGTCCTCTATTGTGTCTGAGACTAGCCTGTTCTGTTGGTCGTGTAGATATGACAGTGATGGCTCAGCAGGTCACGTGACTATGGTGTGTAGACAGCAGCAAGGCTGAGCCACGACCTTTGCCCCCTCACCTGTCCTCTATTGTGTCTGAGACTAGCCTGGTCTGTTGGTCGTGTAGATATGACGGTGATGGCCCAGCAGGTCACGTGACTATGGTGTGTAGACAGCAGCAAGGCTGAGCCACGACCTTTGCCCCCTCACCTGTCCTCTATTGTGTCTGAGACTAGCCTGGTCTGTTGGTCTGGTAGATATGACGGTGATGGCCCAGCAGGTCACGTGACTATGGTGTGTAGACAGCAGCAAGGCTGAGCCACGACCTTTGCCCCCTCACCTGTCCTCTATTGTGTCTGAGACTAGCCTGGTCTGTTGGTCGTGTAGATATGACGGTGATGGCCCAGCAGGTCACGTGACTATGGTGTGTAGACAGCAGCAAGGCCGAGCCACGACCTTTGCCCCCTCACCTGTCCTCTATTGTGTCTGAGACTAGCCTGGTCTGTTGGTCGTGTAGATATGACGGTGATGGCCCAGCAGGTCACGTGACTATGGTGTGTAGACAGCAGCAAGGCTGAGCCACGACCTTTG